AGTCCTCTCATCGTGAGGTGTCATGTGCGCTCAACCTTGAGAGTCGTGATTGTTCACGTGGAGCATCTGGGGGAAGACGGGCGGAGCTTCTTGAAGGGCCCTGGACGAAGCACTGGGTCACGGTCACCATGCCAACCCACTGGGTCACGGTCACCATGCCAACCCACTGGGTGTAGTACACGCATGCTTCGCTGCAAGTCGTTGGTTCTGCTGCTTGCGCATGATAGGGGTTAACTCGAGTGTGGCGGCCTCTACAGACGCTTACCAGACCGTCTATAAACATTTTTGGTTGGGGACTCGGCTCTGATCTGGCTGTGATCGTCGTCCTGCTGCGACGTAAAATAATTTCTGATGTCACTTGGGGGCGGACGTTAAATTGCCTCTTGATCAGCCAGATCATCCGAGTGGAAGGCTCGTCGGCGTACGAGGGTAAATAAGAGTGTTGTGGCTGCCTTGCTCGACGATAACCCGGGGCACAGGGGTGGGACCGGATTGCACACCTTTAAGACACGCTTGGCTTCTGATGCGAAGAAACGTGACACCGTGACTTTGAGAAGAACAAAGGGAGGGGTAGGTTCCAGGTGATAAGTTCGGTTTTTAATTCCACGCTATGAACAAACCCAGTCAGTTAACATTATTTTTATTTTTGATTAGTTAGATGGACAGCCATGTGACATCTGACAAACAACATTAGTTGAGAATATTGTTTATTCCTGATGCTTCCTCTGCTTGAGAACTAATCTTACTAAAAAAAATATTCACAATAGGAATCTGACTTACCTGTTGACCCCAAATGAGATCTGTTCCAAAAATAGCCACCACTAAATAGTTGGTCTGTGCACTAAGCTGCGGTAGGCATCTAGAATGATCTAGTGTAGACATTGCACAGTGTTGTAGTCCATGAGCGACACAGGGGACACCGGAGAGGACGACCGCAGGATCTTGCGATCTGCCAGAGGCCCGTTAACTCACGTGTCCCTAGGACCGGAGGGTGATAGGGAACTGTTCCGCCGGCAGAGGGAGAGGAGAGCTAGAGCAACCGAGGCCAGCAGAACCTTAATTGGTAAGGCTGGTGCTACAACAGCCATGAGCACGTCTGCGCAGCAGACTTCTCAAGTCGGTAGCTCAGGTATCGCCGGGTCCACGGTCGCACAGACCATGAGTCAGTCTACTGGCTTAATGGCAAGCCAGCCCGCGGTGTTGACCCCAGAGGATGTCGCCATCCAGCAGGCAGCCCTGCAGGAGGCACAGCTACAGCAGGCATTAGGAAAGATAAAAAGGGAGAAAGAGATGATGATTAGAAGAAGAGCCAAGATGCAGCAAAGAGAGACAGGCATAGAGGAGTTAGAAATGATGGACCTGACGCATATGGATGATGATGTGAGGGTAGTTAGGAAGGCCCTGCTAGGGGTTATAGAAATGCAGGAGCACCAGACTACCATCCTTCAGGACATTCAATAGAGTCTGGCCGTATTGTCAGGCCGCGCTCAGGCAACACCATCACCAGCCCGGCCTGGTGCCTGGCCCGTGCCATATCCTCCCTTCTCTGTCCCACCAGTGACTGGGGTATCCCCATTTGTAGCCCCGTCAACGGTTGCTATCGTATCCATAGGCATGCCGCTATCAKGAGGGGTAACAGCAGGGAGTAGTTTACAGGTTCCTGTACAGACAGTGTTTATTCSAAGTCCGTCACAGGTTGCAGTCACCACGCAGCCTGCTGTCTCGCAGTCAGTGCAGCCTCAGGGCACACAGCCCCAGCAGCTAGCACAGCAACCTGTTTCACCAGGTCCACAGCCTGGAATGATGCAGGGACTGGGACAAACACAGTGGGTTCCAAAGACGGCCATCGTTGCCCCTAAACCTTTTACAGGAGACAAGACAGGCGAGGACCTCGACACATGGTTGAGGGCAGTGCCGGTCTACGTCAGGTGCAAACTCACCTTGCCTCACGAAGAAGTGCTTGTGGCTGCCTCCTACCTCGAGGGAAGTGCAGCGAGAGGGTTGAGCGGTCTAGTTCAACTTCAGGGATATGGTCATGACTTCCGCGCTTGGGCAGCCTCCCATAAATTGGAGGACTTCCTAAAGATGGTGGAAGAAAGGTGGCATGATCCTCAGGAGGCTCAAAGGGCCATTGACGCGATCCTGACACTGCACACGCGACAGTTTAAGTCAGTAAGGGAGGCCACCGACGCTGTAGAGCGTTTGATCTGTGTCCCTCGGGTACGCTATGATCCTCAGGTCCTGTTGACTTCGTACCTGAGATGTTTTTCACAGCCTCTCAGGAACCAGTTGGCAAAAGAGGCCAACATCAATATGCACAACTTCCCTTCGTTTAGCAAGGTGGCCCTAGACCTGGAAGCAAAGATAGGGCATGGACAGGCACCCACTACGGAAGGGAGAAAGAAGACACTGCCTCCCAACTGGAAGGCGAAAGGTCGCATCATGTTTGTCGACAACGATGGATCAACCATCGAATTGGACGACAACTTCTAGGAGGGAGTAGGTGCAGAGGCGGGTGGCGAAACTTCAGAGGGTGGAGTAGTCGCCGCCGTAACCCAGCAAAACGGTAAAGGGACCGGTACACGCCCTAGGGGATCCCGGTCGAAGAGTCAAACAGACCCCAATGCTCCTCCATGGGAAAAAGCGGGTCTATCTGAGGACGTGTGGAGAGATCGGTGGGCACGGCAAGCTTGTATCAAGTGTGGCCAATATGGTCATAGCATGTACAARTGCCGCAACAGGAAGGTCACCGAGAAGATCCCGCCCACTATGGGGCCGACGGTAGGATCCTCTCAACCCGTTGGTAGCAACATTGCCAGTTCTTCAGGCAGTGCTCCGGGAAACACGTCGGGCCAGTAGGAGTAGTAGTTGTTCCTACTAGGGTCGCGATGGTGGATTCACCCTCACCTTCGTGAGAGATGGCCCAAGCTACAGACTCTTCAGTCGTCCCGCAAACACATTCAGACCGATCGACCCTCTGTTCGATGAATGTGTTTGAATCCTTAGAGGAGTTAGAGGATGAGTGGTCTAGATCAGACCCACTAGCTTCTTGGACGGCGTTAGTCAAAGCCCCTAGGAGTGAAATGTTTGTCAGCGAGGTAGTCATAGGAGGTCGCAAGGCCGGGGCCTATTACGACACTTGCTCGACTAGGAACTTTATTAGTCGCGCGTGCGTTGAGAGGCTGCGCTTACAGGGGCAAG